CTGGGAGGCCAGCATGGGGCTGATCCAGACCCCCTCAGTGTGAGAGTCAGTGAGGAGGCCTTGGCAACCTATGGGGCCCTGGGCAGTGGATCAGTGTTTATCCCTGGCATACAAAAGGACTTCATGTGTCCATAACACAAAGAGGGATGCTCTCTCAGCCTGGACTCTTAGGGGAGTGCCTGCACCCTGCCCTGAGTGAAATGACAGACTCTAGATATCCCCTATGTGGAAGGAAGTAGCTATAGGGTGGGAGGCTGGGGGGGCTGTTGGGGAGGTGTGTTAAGAAGGGAGGGAGAGGGAAGTGGGATTGACATGTGAAACAAGCTATTTAAAATAAAAATAATAATAATAAAAAAGATAAAAGATAAAACCTTAAAAAAGGAAACAAAGCTAACCAATTCCTTCCAAAATAAATTGTTCATGTCTGCAACTAGAAAATGACAATATAAAGATCATTTCATACACTCTACGAAGATCAATTTAATGTGGAAAAAACATTTTGTTCTGCCTTTTTGAGAAAATAGATTCAGTATTTCTGTTGGGCTGAGTGGATTCGTGAGTAGCAGAGCACTGATCTGGTTGAAGAAGCTTAGGGAGGAGGAATCACTTCTATAAAGTGCTGTAAATTCTGCTAATGCCACAAGGTCAAAAAGATGGATAACCTGAGGAATAGCTGTCATTGTCATGCTGATGACTGGTGCTATTTGCCTAACAGGCTAAAAGGATTTGCTGGGAGTGAGAATTGTTAATGGGGACAAAGAGTCCCTGAGCTTTTGATGATTCCATGAGTATACAGTGATGAAATTAGAACATGTAGTCAATTTTCCTCATATGATTTCATTGTAATACAAAGGCTAAAAGGAAGCTAAAGTAACAAAATTATTGCTAAAGGAAGAAGCCTAAATTACATTCTCTAATTTTATTGAAAACCTTGATGAGCAAGAGAAATTGAAGAAGCAGACCATTGAATTTCCTTTGAGATTCAACTCAATTTTCCTTGATTGGATAAAGTGACCAATTCAGCTCTTTGTCAGACTACTACAGAAATGAATCCTATCAACAGAGGAATTTCATCTAAAATCTGAATAAGTATTTTTTAATTCCATTATTCAATTGAAAATTATCAGCCATAGGGTTATCATGCCTAACAGAAAACAGAAAATATATATTTTACATACAATGTCCAGATATCAATATTAAGGTTAGTAGATTAAGAAACTTAAAATGACTTTAAATACAAGTTTCTAGAGGAAAACTTGAACTACAAACTCAAATAGTATTATAAATCTTTGGAGTCATGACTGCACACCAAGAAACCAACACAGAACAAGTTAAAATCATAGAAGACAGAATTAGCAAACTGGAAGAAAGGAAAATTAATGACTCTAAAGTGAAGGAGAGATACAGATGATAAGACAATTAAACAACAACATTATTTGAAATACACTAGCTGTACATCTCTAAAATCAAATGAAGTTTTCAAACTCATAGATTTAGAAGTATAAAGTTGGAACAGTAGACAAAATAAAACCAAAAACATGTTCATGCACAGCAAAACTATTTCCAGGTAAGACTAATTTGAAGTCCCAATGCAAGAAAAATGAACCATGGGCAACTATTAATTACTGAGAGGGAGAACTAGTGTCTCCCAGGGATGATCACCCCCAGTTGGTTATCCAATACAAAACAGTCAGCCCTGAGATTATAAACACCCAGTCAACACTAAAGAACTCAGAGAATTGTGCACAAATATATACATATTATGTAACAGGAAAAATCAGATAAAAAGAAACTATCAACGTGAGAGTGAATGGAATGGGGAAATGCAAGCAGAAGGAGGGAGCCAACATAGGAGGAGTTTTAGAAGAAAAAAAGGATGGGGGGACATATCACTGCGTTTTGATTAAAAGTTTGAAATTAAAAACAGTTTTTTAAAAAATCTGAAAATACATCACAGTAGGTGATTTGGTGGATATTAACAAGTTAATGAACTCTAATAATTAAATGCCAAATCAAAAGAGAAAAAAATGAGAATAGCTCTGTAAAAAAGAGCTCTTGTAGGAAGATTGACTTCGACAAAAAGTCAGCATTTATAGAAAAGTTAAGGCACAGTTGTCAAAAGCATGAGGGTAAGCAAATACATCAAACAAATACAAGAGAATTCTGAGGCTTGCCTGTCTAATCACTTGACTTCTAACAGTTACAGCAGTGTGGTTCAATAGGTACATGGTGGCTTCTGGCACAGTAGACTTATTCAGAAAGACCTTCAGATAACACCACAGACAATAGTCTATAGCCAATTCTATATAAATGCACAAATAAAAATACAAAGCAATTAGGGTTGCTTTGACTCAGAGTGAGAAGGTGAGTTTACATAATGATCCTCCCCAAGCCAGCACAGACAGACATTTGGCTATATACCTCCAGCTATCATACAAGCAACTAGAGCTATGTATAGAGATCATTTTGTTAAAGAAGTAAAAATAATTTCATGTCTCAGGGAAAATGCTCATCAGCACAAAGTGCATAAAACTTATAAATGTGTGGTATTTAGACGTATGATTTGCTCACTTAATTTTGACTGTGCTAGCATATAGTAAATGAAATAATGTTAGCTTTTCAAAGTACTGGAATAGAAGCCCTAAGGAATGGAAAATTCAGAGCAGCTTGGTAACTGTCATAAAAGAGCATAGTTATGAAGACAGAGTTAAAAGTGAGTAAATGATCATTAACACGTTGCCATAGTACACAATTCTGTTTTATTTTTCTGTGTTGAGCACAGATGTGTCTGGCTTAGTGTTCAGAATCATCAGGCTTGATGCCACCAAATTGGACGATGGACTTGGCACATTTTTGTACTCAGCATTTAAAAACAATCTATCTGTGTAACAGGAATTAGCAAACAATTCAAGATTTAAAGGGTAAAGGAGACTTGCTTCAAACCTGACCCTGAAAAACACTGGAAATACTTTAATCAGAAACTTCTAAATCCCTCTCTGACAAACTTCCAACCTAGGAATTTTTTCCTAGCCCTACATTATTATTTTTCATTATATTTTAATTGTCTACTCCTCTTAATATATCACATGCTCTATTATACCTGGACTAGTGGGAAGCATAACCCAGATTGCATGCAAAAGGAGATAGTGCTTTCAAGTCCTTCCTAGTCTCACCAGTATGTATAAAAATAACTTTGACTACTTTTTACAATAAAAAAATTGTGTCCCTTATCCCACTTATGTAACTATACATAGATATAGTTATATATTACTATATGATTCAAATACAGTATTATATAGATTTATTGTTGTTGTTTAGGAGATAGTAGCATCTAAGATTTACCTATGATGCCCAGGGCACTACTGACTGAAGCTCCACTACCAAATAAGGAAACTCTTTATCACGTCCCCTTTGAAATAGCATTTCCTATTCCAGGCCAATGGCACTGCTGTAAAGAACATCACATTCCCTATGTTCCAGATTCGCTTCTTTCTATTCAGTCAGACAAAGCTGTACTTATATCAGTTGAGGTAAAATTTAATTTCTGGGAATATGCAGTTATCATTGGTACTAACAGGTGTCATCAAAGTTTATAAATTCTCATCTCATAATGCCCCTCTTGCAGGAGGTGATGTCCCCATTAGTACCATGACTTGTTATTGGAAAAATATGAAGAGGGAGAACTCTTATCATACTATTTTGATTTAACCTAAAATCATTTGAATGTTTCACCTAATTTTTTAAATCCCAAAGAAATTCTCAAAATGCAATTCAAAATTCACGTCCTTGAAGGGGAAAGCAGAGAAACTTAAGGGTTTTGTTGTTTTGTTTTTTTTTTTTTATCAAAATTGGGTCTTGAAAGGGTTTAGCGTATGTTCCAGTTCAACTATAATGAAATACCAAAAACATCAGACATCAGAGAGTATCATTTGAATTTCACTAAAACCTCATTGGGAACAAGAAATTGAGCCTGGCACTTAGTACCACCCTATAAATGCACCAACATTTAAAAAGTCACTTTAAGTATTTCTAAGCCTCAAAGACCTTGGAGAGCTAAGTCATTAAAATCATTTCCTTCTTCCTTTGATCGCTCTACCATTTTCTCACATTACATTTATATATCATAAGATCTGCCATAAATTACATATGCGAGCTCTGTTCATATAATCTTAGTGATTTGGGTTCTAGCTTCTCTAGGGCCCTCTGGACTGCTATTGACTTCAGATTTCCTATATGTTTTGGCATACTACATGAGACAGTTAATATTCTGGTATTAACTGGACTTCTATGCTTTTTATAAGCAAATTACAAGTGCAATTTTGTACAGATTGACATTATGTTTTATAAATACATATATATATTTGTGAGTACATGTATATATGCCTATATGTATGTATATTGTAGCAATATGTTATTCACGTGAAATATGCAAATTAAAGTTAAAATGCAAAAAAAAAGTCTACTGACTCTTTTAAATATCTATGTAAAAGTTTATAGTCTGGGTGTGGAGATGGCTCACAGGGTAAGAACTATGACTGCTCTCCCACAGGACCAGTCTTCAATTCCCAGCACCCACATGGCAGCTCACAACTGTGACTCCAATTCCAGGGGATCTGACTAAGTCACACAGACTTGCAGACAAAACACCAATGTACATGTATATTGTACATAAGTAAAGCAATTTTCAAAGTTTATAATCTTCCTTGAACTTGTAAAAAATTATATAAGACTACCTATAAACATGGTGTTATTAAGCTAGTTCTTAATGGATTTGCAGCCTAGCTATACATGCTATAAAATGTGACTACAGTAAAAGCCAGACAAATAAATGGACGAGTCACTGTAATTTTTTAAGGTTTCTAATCGTGCTGTTTCCTAAAGAATATGCCACATCACAATCGCTTTAATGGGGAAAATGCAAGGCTTTGGGACACCATAAATAACTATCACCATCTAGTTCCAGCAGCGGATATTTACTATAGCATGAACATTTCTCTTACTTCTGTCAGATGGCTGAAAGTCGGTTTTGCTGTTTGAATCATAAGTTCCTTGGTCACAGAGTCCAATGCTATAGAAAAAATAGATTAAGAACAACACTATTAAAATAATTTTAAAAAATAATGAAAAGTCAACTTATTTATCCATTATTAATATGAGAAATAAGATAAAAGTGAATTTTCTTTAATAATAAAATCGATTTATTGATTCATCCCAAATCACATTCACAGAAAACCACACCATCCTGCAGAATTGGAGCATAATGGCTCAATCTAATTATCATAGTACACACATTCATAATCAAAAACTATTATCATTTCTGACCTACTCTTAAAAGAACCATTTCTACTACACAGCAACAGAGCATTGAAATACTATTTTTTTTAAGTATCCCATACTCCTAAGATAGGGGCAAGTGATCTAAATTAAAAGGTGACATACAATTTATCTTTGAAACATGTGGCTGTTGGTGAGCAAATGTTATTTATAATTATACTAGGAATAGAGCAGAATTTTTGCATGTAGAAGCTAAAAGAAAGTTTACTTTTAAACATTTGAGAATGTCTAGATTGTAGAACATAACTGCACCCCAGAATGGCCAACTACCCTCTGTGGATCAGAATTAACACATATGGAAGGTATCAAAAAACAAATGCATTCTGAGTCAGTCACAGGGCTGGAAGCTTCCTCTGCTAATAGTGACTGTCAATGTTTTTAAACAGGGGAGGTCTGTTCTGAAGACAGAAGAGAGTAAAGGCTTCAGAAATTCACAAAGGAAGTGAAAGACTGACCAAAAAGCATAGAGAAAAAGGTGGGCAACACCCTGATTATTAAGCCTGAGTTGAGCATGTGGGCTAACATTGGTAACATAAACCACTAAGGGAGATATTTTTAAATTTAAATTTAAATTAGAAACAAGGTTGCTTCACATGTCAATTCCAAGACCCTCTCCGTTTCCCTCTCCTCCTCCCGTACCCTCCCACCAAATCCCCAATATCTCCTCATTTTCCCAGGAAGGGTGAGGCCCTCCATGGAAAACTACTATTTTTAGGCTTCTAGTTTAGTGGGTTTTTTTTGTTTTTTGGGTCTTTTTCCTTTAATTTTATTTATTCTTCTCTCATATAATACATACCTGACCACAGCTTCCCTGCTCTCCATTCCTTCCAGCACCTCCTCCTCAGTCCACATACTCACCTTTCCTCTTCCCAGATTGTCTCACAGCTTCCCTCAAGAAAATAGCAAGCCTTCCAAGGAAATTAACTGAACAAGGCACAACAAGATGCAGCAAGGCCAGTTCCAAACTTGCACATAATGACTGGACGAGCTGCATTTATGTTGTCCCTGAGTGTGCAAATGAGCGATTCTGACTCTCATTTCTTCTCTTGGGCTCTTTTCCCTCTCTTTGTCTTTTCCAACTCTGATGTGTTATTTTTGTTTAATTTTATTATAGTTTATTTTATTTATTAATATTCTTTAAAAGACCATTTGTTTTCTAATGAGAAACAGAAAGGGAGTGGCTCTGAGTGGGAAGGGAGGTAAGGAGGAACTGGGAAGAGTAGAGAGAGGAGAGACCATAATTGACACATACTCTGTGAGGAAAAATATCTATTTTCAATAACAGGAAAAATAAGAATTTTAAAAGAATCACTGAATAAACTTTTTAAAAATATCTGAAATACCATAAGTTCTGGGAACCAGTTCAGGAGCCTCAATGTGTCCTGCTATTGGTCAGAGATAAGGAAAAGCCTAGGAAGGCAGCTGTAAATAGCAGGAAGGCTAGACACTGACAACACAAAGGAGGTAAGAACAGAAGGCTTGGTTCAGGCAGGTATTACAAAGATAAGGCCTCCCATCATTGTTGACCAGGGTCAGAGAAAACAACCAAATTAACCCTGACATTTGACAAACCTTTTTCCCTTAATTGTAAATCCTTTCAACTGAGACATTTCCATATATTTCTTATGTTTTTATTTCATGTAACTTTGTTGTCACTTCTGCCCCTTATCCTGAGTCATTTTTCGTCTCATTGGTATAGCAATTTCACATTTGTCTTACAGAGATTTTATTTTTATTTTGAGAGAGTATCACTGTATAGCTCTGACTAGCTTGAGAATCACTATATAGACCAGCCTGGACTCAAGCTCACTGACTTCCACCTACCTCTGTAGGAATTAGACGTCTGCAATATCATGCCCATTCCCTGCAGAATTTTTAAGTCCATCTTATAGTGTTAGGTATTTTTGACATTTGCCTTTTTATAATCATTAGTAATACAGTGGCCTCTAGCCAAATTAAGTATAGTTCTATATCCTGTATGAGTTTTCTACTGTTGCTGTTACAGCAAATGTCTCCCAAACTAGTAGATACAAAAACCTCAACATAGAAATTAAGACATGTAAAAAATAAAGCAAGACAACTTCACCAAAAGGTCATAACTTCTCAACTATTGAATGCAAATATACTCTCAGAGATCAAATGCCAGAAGATTGTGAAGCTACATGATAAAAATGACCAATGCATTTTAAAGGGGGTAGGAATAAGAATCTGAAATTAATGTAGAAAGTAGGGAAGAGAATCAGAATCATGAAGGGAGAAATCATCAATAAGGATGAAAAAACCAATAGGGATAAGAAGTCAGCAACTTAAAAATTCATAAAGAATAGTGAAACCAATGAATTCAATTAAATTGAAAAACCACAGTGGTTCTCTTCAAACAGAAGAAAAAATATAAGGGATTGAGGACAAGGTTGAGACATACTGCATGCAAATATCAAAAAAGAGAAAAAAAGTGAAGATGGTCCCATATATTCAATAACTGAGAAATGCAAACAAAAGATAAACCTAAGAATCTAAGAAAAGATGGAGCTGACATAAAAAGAATCTCAAGGAATTTCTTAAGAACATTTCCCAATCTAGAGAAAGAAATTGAGATTCAAATATATGATATACTTAGAGCACCAATTAGACAAGACTAAAAAGGAATCTCACCACATCATCTCCCTGTGGCACAGTATACTGAAGATCTCAAAATATGAAGAAAACAAGTAATATTAAATGCTGTAAAAGAAAACTATCAATTATCCTACAAATGTGAAAAATGCAACATTAGAAGTAAATCATAATACTTGATCTCAAATTGTATTATGGAGCCACAGTGACAAAATACAGTCTAGAGCTGAAACAAAAAAGAGACCTATAGACCACTGGAATAGAATAAAGGATCCATAAACCCATATAGCTATAGTTATCTATTTTTGACAAGACTCAAAAGCGTGCATGGGAGAAAACACCATCTTTAACAAATGCTCTTGAGAATACTGGATTTTCACACATAGAAAAACTGAAAACTGCACCCACATCTTTCTGCACAAAAAATCAAGTAAAATTGATCAAAGACCTTAGATTCATTTAAAACTGTTACAGGAAAACACTTCAAGTTATAGACAATAGGGAGACCAAGTAGCATGATAAATCATCCCAGGAGTTGACATATGGCATTCTGTATAATTAAACTTCTGTACTAAGAGAAAATAGACACTAAAGTCAAAAGATAGTCTACAGAAAGTCAAAAATCCCTCGAGCTACATATAAAATCTTCAATTAGTATCTAGAGAAAAAAATTACAAAGACAAACAACAACAAAAGAAGAACAAATGCACTGAATGATAAACGTGCTCATAGATAGACAATTCTCTGAAAGTACAAACGGTTGATAGTTGAAAAAGTTTTCTACATCCTTGGAATCAGAAAATACAAATTAACAGTGCTTTCTCATCCCAATCAAAATATCTATCATCAAGAAAACAAAGAACAAACAAATGTTTGTGGAAGAGAATAATGTAGGAAGAGAATCATCATTACATGGTGCTGGTTAAGTCATTATGGAAAGTAGCATGAAACATTTGGAAAATAGAAAAAAAAACTATGTTAGAACTACCATACCACCCAGATACACCACTATTTATTACATACATGAAGGATATATAGAGGATATATATGTATATTGTACACACATCTTTTAATATATCGTTCACAATAACTAAGTGTTATGTTTCAAACCAGGGACAAATGACTGAGGTGCCTTTTTAAGCTATTACAGCAGACCTGGCCTTCAGGTTCTCCCATCATCCCTCAGTCCCTACCTGTTACAGACTGGCATACCTTGCCCTCTATCCTGAACTCTCCAGCCCAGAGGATGCGCTGCCCTTCCCCCGAGGCTCTTCCTTATACAATCCAGACACTTTGGTTATGAACCCTTTTTGTACCTTTGACCTCCTGACTGCTGTTTCTGGTTCCTCCATTTTCCCTCTCATTCCCTGTCTCCCACATGACAGAGTTCAGTCTGGTCATGTCCACTCTGGACTCTACCATATGTCCCTGCCTCTAGCCACACTCTCCCACATATCTCCAGTAAACTTTCTCCTCCACCACACCTAAGAGCAATCATGTCCTTTTTCCTTTCCCTTTCTTTCTTTTTATTTCTTTTTTCATTCACTAGGGAGTTAAGAAAATGAGGTACATACACAATGGAATATTGTATTTAGCCATAAAAATTAAAGTCATGACATTTTCAGTAAAATGGATGGAAATCAAAATCATTCTGTCAAACAAGCTCACTGGTAAAGTGTTTTCATTGCAAACAGTAAGATTTGAGTTCAGTCCTCAGAATAACTTTAAAATAACAAGTTCTTGTAGCATGTTTATAAACTCAGAATGGGATTGTGGAGACAGAAAAATCCCTGACGAGCCAGATTAATTTATTTGATGAGCTCCAGAGCAATGAGGCATTTTGTCACAAAAGATAAGGTAGAGAGTACCATAAATTGATAGACATAATTATTCTCTGGCATTCATATACACATGTACATTCTGCATTACAATTCACATAAACCCATGTAACTATACAACATATTAGCACAAATATGCATATACATGCACACCTACATACACACAAATATTTTCACAAAATATAAGATTCAGAAAGACAATTACTGCATCTTTTCTTGCATATGTGAAATTTAAAATTTATTGTGTGCATGTTTTGTCTGGGTGTATAGGTCACCTACATAC